TCTTTTTTCCTTTCTCGTTTCTTTAAAATGTTTTACTGCCAGAAGTGGTCTTCATATAAGGAGGCAGACATGCCTGTTCGTTGTTCGACTTTAAATAAATCCAACCAACCAACCAATGTCCGGCGAACAGGGAGGTTGAAACAGGATGTTGGGTACTCCTCTATCGAGAAGATCCTGCTGTGCTTGAGTGAAGTCAATGAAAGAAATTTTGAACTGTTTTTAGTATGCAACACGTGCACTCCGAACTTTTACGCGAGGTGCGTACCGTTGAGTTCATACACACAAATCGCCAGTGATGTAATGGGAGCTGGCTTCGCGCCAATTCGTGGCGCCGGCTTTGCACTTCGGGCCGGATTTCACCGCGCAACTTAGGTGACAGTATTTTCTGGAAAACACTGACATGGTCACTTTCGTGTATTGTTAAGAAACCTGCCAGAAACCTGTTAAGACATTTCTCAAGTTATCTGGTGACATCTGCGCTGTGCTAACTAATTACTTTCTACCAACACACAGCATAGAAGTCAGTCAAAGCTTGTGATCTGTCACTAGTTTTAGACATGTCATATTCCTAGCACTGAGGTAACATGTGTCGTCATAGAAATATTAACACCTGATGTTGGGAAGGCCGTCATGGCTATGTGTTTTTTTATGATGTATTTACTATTAATTCTCTCAGGAGGTGAAATATGAAATGTCTCAGAAATTCAGTTTTTTTGGAACGCAATTTTGCGTACATGTAGTGATTTAGCCTACAGTTAGTTCACGAGTCATTTCGTGGGTTGTTTGTTTCTCGCGTTGCACAGTGCAAGACAAGAATTTGCACAACTGCACAAGAGTATTGACGTTGACTCTCAAAATGATTCTTGGTCGCCTTTTGTTTGTTTCTTCTAAGTTAGTTTTAACAAAGGGACATGTATTTTCGTTTTGTCTTTTCTCGCAGTGTTTCCTTTCATTTCTAAGCCGCGACGCCGTCGTGTACTGCGGTACGACGGGTCACGTGCTGCCAACCTACTGCATTCTTTATTCACCAGTTTTCACGGCTACACTGCATGCATTGTATAATGACTCGTAATTATGTTTTGCTCTGCGCTGAATCCCGTACTAGTGTAGGGCTTTTTCAGAGTTTGCTTTCGGTGAGGTGAGGCAAGTTCAGTTCTTCGAAAGGAAGAGAAAGAGTTGTCTTTTTGTTTTTTTGCGAAATATCTATTTTACTACCACAAAGTCTTCCCGTTGCGTGTGAGAACCTGCATGACACCTAAGAACACCAAATTGATGTATAATTATAACTTCTCCTTTGCAGACTTCCACTTCATATAGCATCCTGATGAGGGCAATTTGCTAAAAACGTTGAAAATGATTCTGAGAAATGAAAATGAATTTGCAGTGCCCAGGGAATGAGCATGTGTGCTCGCTCACCAATTCTCTTTGAAAAAAAGAAGCGGCTATAAAAGAACTTTCTCCGGTACACACCTGGAGGTTGAACAGCTCTTCTGTTCGGCTTTGTTGTTGTTATAAAATCTCATGAAAATGGAAATGGCTAGCAGCTTTTATCGGCAACAGACCACATACGCTAACGTATTGGGATACGCTAACGTACGAGGATACGCTACAAGCAAGGCAGGGATACTACACTATCTGGCCCAGAATCTGCGAAAACCAGGCTTAGGGTGAAATTTCACAAAAATGACTTTTTCCCATTTTCAGCTTCTACTGGGCATGGGGGGTCAGGAAACTAAATATTACAGGTGTGGGTCGACTCATAGTGGTATTAAAAGCATCTCAAACACACCAGGGTATTGTGTTAAAAAATCCAAAAAAAACACAAAATTGTTATCACAGGAAAGAAATGAAGAGAGATCCACCAGACTGAAGGAAGAGACATGGATGATTTTTGTTTAGGTGACATGACAAGGTAGGAATGTGGGGGCAGGCTTGTTGTGGCCCCTTGGTGCTGCAGGCTGTAGTGGCCATGCACAGTTCTGCATGAATTATTTTGTTTGCTCCTCACTCAGCACATTCTGGGGCTGAATACATGTGCTGGCATGCTCTGGCGCTACACACCACAAGGAAACCCAACTCCAGTTAGAATGGCACCTTTTGAAGGGCGAATCTAGTACAACTGTTCAGAAACAAGCAAGAACACAGCCTTTCAAACTGTTCCACTGTTCACAGTAAGCGCATAGTGTGCTGGCGTGCTGCAGTATCTGCTTGGTGCTGACCAGCAAGTGAAATATCAGCACGCCGTACCGTGAATCCCTTGCAGTTAGCTGTCCAGCGAGGAAAGTCTCGAGTGGGGGCCTCTCGATCTGCTCGCTCATTCGCCTGGCATTCAGTAGCACTTCATCGCCAAGGACTTCAATTCAAAACCGTTTTCACATTGCGCTTCAAGCCATTTTCCTCGCGAATTTGCTGCAAACGTATGAGCTCCGCTGCGCGCGTTCCCTTTGCGTGAGGCCCAGAAACAGCTAGTATCTCTGTACTTCGATTGGCTGGATCGATGTCGTCCAGGTTCTCCTCGCTATCGCCATCACGACTCTAACTGGAGACGATTTCTTCACCATATTCCGCAAGCAGCAGCTAGCGCAGAAATTTCGCCATCCCTGAGTGTAGGAAATGGAATCCGTTCGATCAGCTCAAAAACTCTTCGTTGTGACTAGAGCCAGTAGAGGAGTAGCAGAGAATACTCTACCGGAAGCCCTTTGACTTCCCTGACTGCTGAAACCCTTCCTGCCATGACTGCTACTTCTTCAAACAAGCGAGATTCTCTTTGGTTCCACTTCACTGCACTCGATCGTCCACGCGACACAACCTTTTTACAAAACATCATTTTTCTCAAAAAAATGATTTTTCACCCTAAGCCTGGTTTTCGCAGATTCTGGGCCATCTTATCCAAGGGCGCGTTTGGTTGGTACGAACTAGAACAGGATTCACCAGAACAGCGCGTTTGGTTGGGACTGCACCTGTTCTGGGTCGGCCAGAACATGTTCTGCTTGCTCCGGCCTCGAGGCCGGAGCAGACCGAGCAGTTTCACTTTTTCACAGTGAAACCTGGCGGGAACATCAATTTTGGTCCCAGATGATCACGTGCATACGCTTTTGGGTTGGTTTCGTCGTACCGTACAAAGTGACCATGGTGACCCATACACATTTTGAAGAATGCACCAAGTTTGGCACATTTTTCCACAAAAATGTGCTCTGTTTCTGGAGTACCGTTTGGTTGGCATGAGGTTGCTCCATGTGCACCAGCTGTTGGATCCTGTTCTAGATCGTACCAACCAAACGCACCCCAAGTCATGGGGTGCATATATCGGAAAAGAGATTTTTTGCGTAGTTCTGTTATTTTGATATGCGGTAAATGTGTATAGCACGGTATAAAGAGTATTAAGAGATTCTTCCAGGAAGTGATATACATCCTATCAAAAATCTACTTTGTTCTCCCAGGGTTTTGTGGGACAATAAACTTGTTGACCTACCTGCCGGGCTGTTTGACGCGACAACCGAATTGAGACACCTGTAAGTCATGTTGTGCATGTATCGTAAACAGGCGTTTTTTTGGCGTAGTTCTGTTCTTTTAAGATGTGGCGAATGGGATTTCGGGATGTGGCATCTAGGCATATGCGGATCATGCCGGCAGAAAATGGGCAGAATTCGGTACTTTTTCTTGTAAATTTCATGCTTGTTTGGTATGTGGATAAAGAAATGGAGCAAAATTCGAGAAATTGCCCGCCATAAGGTTTGTATCGTTCTGCCAATTTCACTGCTTTTCGAGCAGAATCTGCCACCTTTTCGATGATTATCCACCAGTGCCCAGTGGCATCTCGTTGGTTGATCTTAGGTACCCTTCCCCACCCTTTATGACCGATACCTGATGCTGCTCACGAGGTGGTCGCAACCAACGTAAGCGAAAATGTGGATCTTCATCCACCCTGTACCGAAACCCGTGCAGAACCAAGAGCAGCTTTGTATCAGCTACAGTTGTATGTAGACAGCTACGAAGGACCATCCGTCTGCTAAGGATGATCATGGCCACTGCAGGTAGCCATGGCTGCGTGGCGAAGCTTCGACACGCTAGCTGCTATTGTTATTCATTTTCCACTCTTCTTGCTCCTGGGTGCCATTGTCCTGATCTGTCAAGGTCTGAACTGAAAAATAGCTACAACGAGATGTGAGGGCAGTGCGTTTCTTCTCATTGCGCCTGGTGGACGAATAATGAAAAAAAGTTCGCTCCTATTTGTTTGCAGCGTTGACAGCCTTGCTCTGTGACGACTTGCTGCTCTCCAAAATATGAATCATGCTTTCCTACGATTCCGAAATGTCATGTCAGTGTTTCAGGTTTGCAAAACCAGCGAAAGATAGCGAAATAACAGCAGCGAAAAGTACAAGAGGACAATTCCGGTATATGGATTGATATTGACAATGACCCTTCAGACATCTGTTTCTGTGGTGTCGGTGATGTGAGTGCAGAGTTTGGATCGGCCAAGAGCGCAATGAGGCGGTGTGGTGTATTGCTCTTGATATTTCTTACCAATATCACTGTAGCCGATATATTCTTATATCCGGTCACTCAATAGCCGATACAGACTGTAGTTGTACACAACTCAATACAGAAGAAAAAAATTCGCGTACAGGTACCTCTGTATCGACCTGACATCACTATCACATTATAGTCAGGCGTAAGAAAAAAACGTTCTCTTTGGCCTCAACTTCTTTGTTGTCCAGTTGGCCATTGTAGCCGTCGACTAGAGCGCAACATAAATCCCTAAACTGGTGACCCTTAATGCTGCCCACTTCGGAGTTTGCCCGATGCGTGCCATCCCTGAGCTCTCGCCGCAGTTTCCTGCTCGTCTCAACTCTTGGGTTGCCGTCAATTGCCGGCCGGTAACATAAAACTTGAATCTCAGCATCATTCGACACTGGATCCGCCTCAGACTGCTAAAACCCTAAAACCCTAAATTGGTGACCCCGACATGCGCTCTTCGGAGTTTTCATCATGCCATCCCTGAGCTCGGCTTGCCGCAGTTCCCTGCTCACCTCAACTCTCGGGATCCAGTCAATCGCCGACTGTTGACTGTAAAACCTGAGCCTCACCATCTCGAAACTGGATCCAGCCTCGGAGCTAGTGTGGCCCCTGCCGACCTCCCGGCCCACCTGGATAACCCACTATCCTGTCACAGCACATTGTTCAGTCGTCTCAAGCTGGAAATTGGCCACCTCCACCCCAAGTATCAGTTTGCAGGCATACGCCCGGCACAGCACTTGGAGGCACGCACGCCTCAATCAGTCCTCGCCTCACACAGCACGCCTCGCGCCAGTGTTTCCTGTGCTCAGTGACTGGTACGTTGCAGCCGCCTCTTACATGATAACACTCCTGATAACTGTCATGCATCTCTTTCTTTTCCAATTTCTGCTTTCTGAATTTTGTTTTGGTCTTTGCTACCACGTTATCAACAAACTTCATACACGCAGCGCTCTCTTGTACATATTGTATTCTATTTTTGCCTTTCCGCCTTGTACATGCCGCGCTTCCTTTCTTTTCTCTCTTTTTCTTGTTTATCGTGCTTCGCGCCTCCCGGCCTCACCAATGGCGGGGGAGTACTGTAGCGAACTGACGTCACTATCACATTATAAGCATGCGCGAAATCATAAAACATTCTCTTAGGCGTCACCTTCTTTGTTGTCCAGTTGGCCTTTGAAGCCGTCGTGTACGGCCCGACGTAAAACCCCTGAACCTCTACCGCCTACCTCCATCAATAGAGTGATTCTACTCTACCAGGAAGCTAAAAACGAACGCAGCCTAGAAGGCGGACTGGGGGCCTGGGGACTCTCTTGGTGCTTCAATGGCTATCCGGGATGCGTAGGAATCCCCCCTAGCACGTACTGCAGCTGGCTCTGATGATTCTTCCTTTCACGTTGGAATTAGTTGTTCTTTTCCTGGAGAGCCCGAATCTCCTCTCGAAAGTGCGCAATGGCGGCTTCCTTTTTCTGTTCTTTGGAGGCTGTTAGACTTTTCAGGTCCGCAATATCTTCCACAAGAAGACGCACTGTCTCCCTTAGCTGATTCATGATCGTAAGCATCCTGATGCTGGCGGCTTGAGGGTCCATTGGTAGCCCAGTCTGTAATGCTACTCGATCATTTGGCTGGATTTTTTTCCCGGAGTGCTCCGACGAGCTGAACTCGGCTGAGGCTGGCCAAGTTCACATTGGTCGCCCTTGCTAGGCTTTCTGTCCCTAGCTATCCAGAATACCAAAATCTATGGTAGCCATACTCCCCCTGGGAGAGCAGGGAATTGGACGTAAAAGAACCTACAACTGCGCAGGGGAACGACGAAAACGATTTCATGCCCCAGGGGCTGCTGTGGCTGTCGACGTCAGCGAGAACATCTAGCGTGTCGTTGACGTATGCCTTGAAAAGTGTTGGTCCAAGAATGCTTCCCTCGGGGACTCCAGCGGTGGTCGTGTACGTAGATGACGTACGCCTCCAACGAGGCACTGTAAGGAACGGGTGTCGAGGAACGAGGCCAGCCATCTCTGAAGCAGACCATTAATGCCTAGGCTACGCATCTTGTGGAGGAGGCCGACATGTGAGACACGATCAAACGCTCCTGTGATGTCCACAGCAAGGATACGCGCCGCCCTCCACAGCCCACAGCTCTTGCCCAGGCAGTTTGGAGAGCTTGCAAAGTGTCTGATTTTCCGAGGCCTCCGCGAAATCCAAACTGGTGTGACGTGAGCAGATGGTGGTCCTCAAAATAGTTTACGATGTGTCTGTTTACTAGAGTTTCCATTATTTTCGAGATTATGCACAGTAAGGATATGGGCCTGTAGTTGAGCGGGAAGATCGCTTGTGGATCAGAACAAAGTTGGCCGTGTTCCACATCCTAGGTTGGACTCCAGACCGGAAGCATAAGGCAAATAACTTGGACAGTGGCTCTGCAAGCTCGTGAGCACATTCCTTGAGGACGCAAGCAGAAATACTGTCAGGCCCTGTAGCCTTGGAGACGTCGAGCTTTGCCAGGAGGCGGCACACAGCCTCTGGGCGGAAGCGGATGGTGCAAAGAGGTTGAGCATCTGAGGGAGCAGGGTCCAGTAGGTCAGCCTCCACAAGGTCCAGACCGGCAACGCTACATTTCTTTGAGAAGAAGCGAGCGAATGCCTCGGCTTTCCCTGAGCTCGTTGCCCACTCGCGGCCGAAAGAGTTGACAATTAGGGGAATTTCGAGCTGTGTGCAGTTGCCAGCGGCGTTTTTCAACTTCGTCCACGACTGTTTGTCTCTGAGGGACCCAGTTGAGAGGTCGCCACAGAGGCTGTCCTCCTTTGCACGTCATGATCGGAACTGAGTGGCGATCGCTACAGTCACGGAATTGGTGAATGCCTGCTGAAGTGCTGGGTCGGGTCATAAGGGTGTTTTCTCCGGTCGCGCCAGCGCTTTTTCTTCTCCCTCTCGGTCTGGGTGCATTCAGGCGTCCACCATACCGAATCGGAAGGCCTCGTTTCCAGAACTTTGGATGGGACAAATTATGCAACAGCTTCAGTTATCGAAGCGGTAACTTGCTCACAGGAAATTTCCTCCGTGATGATATCACCCCATTGCACGTTGCGAAGGTGCGCCCTATTTCACCCTAAGCCTGGTTTTCGCAGATTCTGGGCCACTTATTGTTTTACTGCTTATATAGACAGTTTCCTCTGAGACAAGAATGTGACAATACTCATAAAAAGGGCTTTACGAAAATCTTGAAAGTTTTGGTTTCACAAGTATACTTTCAAGCCTTCTCATCAGGTGAAATAAAGGCAAAGGAAAAGGAAAAGGAACACTGCGAAAGGCCGAAGCATTCGGGCAGTATTTCTCCGCAAAGTGCAGTCTTGGTGACGACTTGCAAGCCAACAGCCTCCCTCCAGTCCGCTCCCGATCTCAAGCCCAACTCCGCAATGTCCACTTTCGGCCAAGCATAGTTGAGCGGAAGCTGAGGCAACTCCACCCCGCCAAAGCCACGGGTCCAGACGGCATCCCCGGGCGTGTACTCCGGCAATGCAGCAAAGAGCTGGCTGCACCAGTGTCACGGCTCTTTTCGCAGGCCTTCCGCCAAGGTCGGCAACCTACAATGTGGAAGACGGCAATGGTTGTACCGGTGCACAAGAAAAAATCCAAATCTGATGTTAAGAACTACCGCCCGATCTCCCTCCTCTCTATTCTGTCGAAAGTCATGGAGGCCATTATTAACCACTCAGTCCGACAGTTCCTGGAGGCACACAACATCTTATCGAAAAGTCAGTATGGCTTCCGCAGCCAACTCGGCGCCCAGGACATACTCACGCTACTCAACTACCAATGGAGTCGCGTTGCAGCCAGAGGTGGTCAGGTTCGAGTCATTGCAGTTGATGTGGCTGGCGCATTCGACCGCGTCTCTCATGTAGGCGTTTTGCACAAGGCACACTGCTATGGTGTAACTGGTCCACTTCTCGCTTGGCTGAGGGATTACCTGACTGATCGTCACTTGAGGGTTGCAGTTGGAGGTGAACTTTCCAGTCCGTACCCGACCAAAGCTGGCGTGCCGCAGGGCAGTATCCTTGGTCCCACCCTGTTCATCCTCTACACCAATGATGGCGAGGACCACCTCCCACCAGCTATGGAGCTAGCAGCCTACGCTGGCGACACCACTCTCTTCCACTGCCTCACATCAAGAGCTGACATTGACTGTGGCTCCGAGCTCCTCCAGCAGGGCATTGATGCGTTTTCCCGTTGGGGACATAAGTGGAGGATCAAATTTGAGCCCTCCAAGACGCAGGCTATGTCTATAGGCCACCATCGCCAGCCCTGGGAGCTCCCTCGAGCAACATTTGACGGCACACCGGTCAGTGAAGAGAGACGGCTGAAACTCCTGGGAGTCACCTTTGACGACACCCTGAGCTACTCCTTCCACCTCCGCTCCCTAGCTTCCCGTGCTAACCAGCGGATTGGCTTCCTGAAGCGAGCGTCTCCCATTCTGGACGCCGAGAGCCGCCAACGCGTCTACAACGGCTTTGTGCGACCCACACTCGAGTATTGCCCCTTAGTGTGGATGGGCTCACCCTCGTCCTATCTTAAGAAGCTGGACCAGATCCAGCGAAGGGCCCTCCACATCATCGGAGCAGGTACTTGGCTCCCTAGCCTGGCACTCCGTCGCCTGGTAGCTGCACCTGCCTATACCTACAAGCTCTGCTATCTAGATGCATCCAGCCCTCTGAAGCAGATGCTGCCTAAACCAGCCACTCACCGTGCCCCCGAGACAAGACCTACCCGTCAGTCTCTCCAGCTGCAGGATTCCCATCCATACCAGATGACAACTGGCCTGCCTGCCAACACCCGGAATAGCTGTCTCCAAGGATTCCCTGCTTGCACCTTTGCAACATGGAATGCCCTGCCACCAGACCTGTTCCACCACCCACCCGCCCAGCCCCACATGCAAAGCTTTACATGCCTAGCATGTACGTCTGAACCATCCTGCAAAGTTTGAATGACGTAGGTTGAGCGATCGCTCCGCGAAACATACTTTTTGAAATTCTCTTCATAGTATATCTTCCACCATTGAAATTTCGAATTTCTTCAAAAAAAGTGCTGAGAGGGGTGGCTTGCAACCTCGATATGGCTTGTTCCAGGCATGGTTTGGAGCCTTCTTCTTTTCAAGTAGTGGCGGGGATCTGCCCTGCAACTGCTACAACAAAAAATGATTCGATCTGAGAAAGGGTGAGTCCGCGAATCTCGGTTGAATATTGAGTATTTCAAGCCTTTTCACGACGAAGATGGAGTTCTTTTTGGAGATGGACGTCGCGGCAAAGGAAATGGTGTCCGACTTCTGGCGTCAGGTGAAGCCAGGGATCATTTGTCCAGTCAGGTCGGCAGCCAAACCGTCGGTAAGCTTGTGTCTGGATCCCGTTCTGCTCGATGTGGTAGATCACAAACAATTTGATATCGCACAAATTGATCTCAGCATCGTGCGTACGGTATTTTATATTCAGAAAATCCCAAAAAGTCTCTGTGTGGCATTCCTATGCCACGAGAAACTCCAATCAGGCTCCAATGTCCCCTGCCTTCATGATTGAATGTCCACTTCGTTTGAACAACGAACACAACAATCGAGGACGGCTTTGCTATGAAAAATACAGCTATACTGGAGCTGAAAAAAAGAAGAAAAAAACGTGCTCAGGATGAGACTCGAGTACACGCATACTCTCCCGGCAGGTGCAATTTTTTGTGAAAAATGCGTGTCGCCGACTGACCAGTAATTTCGCCTGACGTGTCAACATCTGGACTCACGCATCCGACAACAGGAGACGTCCAGCAAAGAATCATCCTGGTACAAGATGATCTAACACAGCGGCATCAACACCAAGCAACGTCGACTCACAATAAACTAGACCACCGGAAAAACAACCGGACAAGACACTTACTGGCATGGCAGTGACAGGAACCGCATCAACTAGAAGAATGAGAAGATCGGCAACGACGGCAATGGCAGTAGGAGCAGTCTGAAGAACAAATTGCCTGACTCCACCAAGACTCGAACCAGGGACCCTCGCTTGTAGCCAGCGATGCTGTCACCATTCAGCTATGGGGTAGTGGTCATCCCAGCAGAAACCGTTCAACATTTTCTTCAGACTTCGAAACTCACTCTTTGTGTGAATCTATACAGGCGGGTGGGACGCAGCCCTCACTGTAATCCACACACTCCACCTACATACTAGCACGCAATATTCTTCCAAGATCATACATCCTATCCAAATTCTACTTTGTTCTCCCAGGGATTTGGACGGTAATCCACTTGTTCACCTACCTGACGGGCTGTTCAAAGCCACAACCAAATTAAAAGAACTGTAAGTCATGTTTGGAATGTACCGTAAAAAGGCGTTTTTGTCGTAGTTCTTTTGAGATGAAGCAAATAGGATTTCGGGATATGGCATCTCGTTGATTGATCTCATGTACCCTTTATGACCCGAAGCTGACGCCGCCCGTGGAAGACTTTTCCAGGTAGAACTCCGTGTTGGAAGCAAAGAGCTGAGATAGTGTCTTTACAAGTTCCACTGCGCATTCCTTCAAGAAAGAAACTAGCTCCTGCGATTTCTTTTCCACTAAACCACCTATTTAACCTTCTTTACCACAGGCAAGTTCCCTACCGACTGGAAACTGGCTACATTTGTGCCTATTTACAAGTGAAAAGGCAGCAAATCCAAAGCGAGTAACTATCGCCCAATTTCCCTCCTGTCCTGTATTTCCAAACTTTGCGAACGGCTCTTCTTCAATCAATCAAAATTCTCCTGCTGTGGATCCTGCGCAATCTGGGTTTCGTCGTGGTGACTCGACTGCTCTACAGCTCACCAAGCTGATCCAAAACATTGTCGACTATCGTCATATGGGGCGGAAAGTTGCCATGTGCTTTTTCGACCTCGAGAAAGCTTTTGACACCTTGTGGCACTGTGCATTACTTGCTAAACTTTCCAAAGTTTTCGGTGTGTGTGGCGCAGCGCTAGAGTGGAAAACAGACTACCTATACGACAGAACGCAAGTAGTCTTTGTAGGTGGACTTCTCTCAGATGCCTCGCCTGTTCTGTCCAGAGTGCCGCAGGGATCCATCCTAGGGCCCCTCCTTTTCCTAGTGTATATTAATGAACTTCCCAGTCATGTTGAAGGTGTGTCCTTATTTGCTGACGATACTGGACTGCTCCGGTTCAATGAGTGTCTAGAGAGGCTGCGAGACAGTCTCCAGTGCGGCATCAACGAAGTCCATCAGTGGATGACTACCTGGAGATTAAGACCTAATATCGCCAAGACTGAGATATTATTCCTGCCGAACTCAGAGCCAACCTATGCATTCACTCTTCCCGGATCTCTCACAAACCTCACAGTGGTAAAGCAACACAAGCATCTTGGTTTTGTCATTGACTCAGACTTATCGTTTAGTAGACATGTCGACTATATCTGTAGCAAAGTCAGTAAAGCTGTTGGCTATCTCGTGTCTCATTGCTCCCACCTACCGCTTGAATGCATTTGCCTTTTTTATCATTGTAATATTCTCCCCATTTTTTTCTATTGCTCAACCGCCTGGTCATCCCTACTAAGTAAATCGTTAATGAGTACCCTGGAAGTCCACAATAAGAGGATACTGAAAGTCCTTTTCTGCAAACCTTCCCTATCTCTAGTCAAGCGGATCGAAAACTGTGTATTGTTGTTCATTCTATTCGTCTTGACAAAGCCCCGCCACACTTGCGTAAATATAACTGGTTTCTTCCCACTCGTTCTACGCGCAATCCCTGCACTTTACCTAAAGCCCGAACATCAGCTTATACCAGATCTCCGTTTTTCGCTGCCTATTCTCTCTGGCTGGCCCTGCCTCTATCAGTAAAATCGTCTTGTACCCTAACTGATTTCAAGGCCAATATGAAGCTCGTGTTCTAAAAGAGAAGTTCTGCTATACGTCAAACGTAGAGAAATCACTTAGATATCAGGTGTCTGGGTTAGAGTCTACGGCTTCGTATGTTTTGGGTCCAGATTTCTACGCGGAGCTGAGGTTCTCTACGTTGTGGCACACGCAAAGAAAATACGTACGGATTGGCTGGGTATCGATCAGCTGATGCAGAAAACTGCCAAATATAGAAGGGAAATTCCCAGTACTCATTCCACGTGACTTCTCTACGTGAAGAGTAGAGCAGAACAGGATTTCTTTACGTTATGGGAAAGCGAAGAGACTTCGCGTGATTCTTTGCGTCACCCTAACGTAGAGCAGAACCTCCCTAATACCGTATTTTCCGCAGTATAAGCCACACCGGGATATAAGCCGCACCCCCTTTTTGAGGCAAAATATTGACTAAAAGTTGGTATTCGGAGTATAAGCCGCACCCACAAACCAGCATTTTTCACACTCATTGACAAATGGCCTTTCTACAAATTTATTATGTATGGATGTGTGGAAACCGGCACTTGCAATACCCAAAATAGAGTCCCCGTATACGCGTACCGTATGGTGTAGCCCGCGCACTAAAACTAGTAAAAGTGCCGGGATAGCAACACAGGCGCGAAGCTGAGTCGAATGACATGTAACGTGACGTCAGAATGCATACTGATGTATGCTAAGCATTCATTCACGCAGGCATATTCGGTGTATAAGCCGCAGGGCCGATTTTGGTCCGATTTTTAGCGAAAAAAAAGTGCGGCTTATACCCCGGAAAATACGGTAAACTGCTAATTCTTTATCGAGGTTTGTTTCTCTTTGCCTCCAGTAATCTGTAATATTTATATTTCTGCTTTGTTTTTGTTTACTGCCATGGCTGGCTACTGCCCCCTCCCTCCATATTGGCCTATATTCTCTGGCCACGGTAAGGTGAAATAAATAAAAATAAAATAAAATTGCATCGCAGCTCAAAGAAACTATTTGATCGCAAAACGAAGTGGGACCCATGCCGCTCGTCAACAATTACAACACTTTCGTTTCGACAAGTTCTCTCTGACTCCATTATCGATACGAGGAAGAACTCGTTTGTTGTAAACGAGACGTTCATGACTGTATGAACGTGAGTGAGTTGTCATTCTTCCTGCTTTCGCGAGGAATATTTCTTCCAGTTCACAGTGAGTTTTTCCATGCAGCTCTCGAGTGCTCATATGGTAAGACGGCAAACTCCGCGGGCGATCGCCAGGATTGCTCATCATTTTGAAACGGACTGTAGGTCCTTCACATTGATTCAATACCGAATAGCTAATGTTTACTGCATGAACCATATAGCTGGCAGTACTTCTTGAAGAAATGAAGAAAATCTATCTGGCTGCTTTTGGAAAACGCCCGGCAAAGTACAGATATTTGCATTCGGAACCGAATGATTCTAGTCTATACATGTTGCCACTCACCGACATACAATATTTAATGCTCGCTCCATAGCAAACCAGTCGGGCGAACTCATTCAAATCGGTGAGGACGACGGAAAGCGCCCCCTCAAGCTCCAACACCAGGCACCGCTCCAGATGCCAGCACGCCAAACCCTGCAGCGTGGTCACCTCCACCGAGTCTGACAAGAAATTTGAACTGACAACCCTTGTCACTCCAAACAACAATCATTAATTTACTGAAGAGGGAAACATCCCCGACACAAGTTGTTTCACAGAACACATATTTTCGGTTTTACAAATCTTTTTAAAGGACTGACCGGTTTCGCTGTCTAAGGCAGCTCATCAGAGTGAAGAGAAATGTAAAAACACAACAGAATGTATGCAGGCGAGAGTGGCACTAAATTATACATAGATACAAGTAGGCCGCCAAAATGCTAGGGGCCCCAAGAGCATTGGGAGTTCCTAATTTGGAAGTGCTGCAATTCTGTTATGACATATGTGTAATAATGTGGGCTTGAATTCCAATATGGATGAATGCTTAATATATGGAACATGCTTTGTAATTTTGAACAAGTTGTATGTTGTACATGAAAAAGCATGCAAGCCCAGTTTGTACATTATATCTGTCTGGTAATGTGTACAGACTTATTTCTGGCAGTGTCAATATATTGACACTGCTAAAAAAATTCAGGAAAAGGGCCGTAAGTCGTAGATTTCACGAAAAACTGCTGTTTGATACTGACTTTCTTCTCATTGCTTTTCTTTCACATGTACTTGTACATGATGTAGTCACTTTCGCATGTAGAATATTCCATGTTTAATTTGACGCTAAGTGTCGTCTGAAAAATGGACAATGCCGAGGCATTCCCGATCTCGACGGTGTTTGATGATTACGAGACAGAAGGAATGCTGTTCCCTGCTCGGTTTGATATTGCTCCGTTTATGATGTTCCTTGTTTGTTACTGGAGCACAGCAGTGCCAAGAGTAACAAATTTTGCTGAAGCAACTGTGCCCAGTTATTCTATGAACAATTTTTGCCAGCATTTTCTTCTCCCTCCTTTATCTTGCCTTTCCCCTATTTTGTTGCTGGAAGAGGTTTGATGGAGTTGTGTGCATGTGCATGTGGCGGACCAGTTTAGTACCATCATGACTTTTCAACACGTGGCTTCTTTTCTTTTCTTTTTTCACATCACCCCATGTGGATCCGTGGAATCGATTCCGAATCGATTCCAGGGCTCACGACATGGAAATCGAACGACTTGAATGCATGCGAATGGATTTATGAATCAATCCAAGTGTGTAATCGAAAGCTCTCAGCCGGGCCATCCTCCACTCGCTCTGGCGTTTTTCGGCCGTAAGTCGCAGGATCTGCACTCTGGAACCTGCTGCCAGATGATGTTGGGACCATAGCAAGACAGAACAAGTTTAGCATAAGTTGCCTACCATATTGTTGGTAAGATTAGCCCGCCCCTAGCTCTCCTCAACCACCCTGTCACCCCTTGTCAGATACTTTCGTCATTTTCTAATTCCTGTCCTCTCTTTTCTAAATGCGGCTTACTGTAAAGCGGCTAAATTTAGCGTTTTGCAAAACTGGACCAGTTAGCGGCGATTAATTTTAGCGATTTTTACCTTCCACCGAAAACCTTAAAGAATTTTATTTTACGAAGCCTCGGAGTGCTGCTGCAGCTGGGACGCAGAGTACATGAAGAATGAGAGAAGAAATCAAAGAATGGAAGAAGAAAAAAGAATCAAGGAATCAAAGAGAACCATAAGGTAAGTACTAGTGCTGGTCTATGTACATGACTGAACACTGTTATTGCTGTTGCAGAGATATTACTGCTCATTACTAGAACTACCGCTAGGAATACAGTCCAGAATTCCAGCCTTCCGGAAGCCCAGCTTCACGCACGCTGCTGCATCCGCTAATTCGGACATGGCAGTGATGAGCCACCTGGCATGCCGTGGCTTGACTGTGGACGCTTTCAGATCGACCTTGACTTTGTCAAGGGACACGCCATCCTTCAGCGCTGCCTCAACCTCGGCCGCATACCAGTCGGCAAAGAGTGCCTTCATCTTGCCCTTGAACTGGTCGTTGAAGGTGAGGTCCAGTGGCTGAAGCTCACCAGTACAGCCAGCCGGAATGAACACCTGGTGAATGTTGTGCTCCTTCAGCTTGTCCAGGACTGAAGTGCAGCGGTGGGAGGCAAATACATCAAAAATCGCCAAGGCAGGTTGCGATGCTGGTAGCTTCAGCTTCTGTCGCTGCTGTGCAGCATATGGAACCACGACGTTATCCACAAACTGCAGCATGGTTTCCTCTGTGCTCCAGTGAGAGGGGGAGTGGGTGATATTCCAGTCATCCGGAAAGTTCACCTTGGGATGACACGCCGGAGTTTTCCCAGCGTAGATGACTTGCGGAGGAAGCAACACGCCAGCAGCAGATACGCAGACGAGGATGGTGATCTCCCTCTTGTCGTCCTTGCCGACAACACTGACTTGCTTACTGCCCTGCTCAGCCAATGTCCAGGAGTTGACAGGAACCAGCTTGGTCCCTGTCTGGTCCCAGTTGATGATCAGTTCTGCTGGAATGATGTGCTCCTGTACAACAGTCTTGATCCGCTGATGGAAATTCGATTTCTGCTGGTCGAAGTCTTCAGGGAGCTTCCTAGCAGCTTTGGTGGCCTTCCGTTTTACGAAGTGGTGACGCCTTCGGAACGAGTCAGCCCAGTCCTTGGTGATGTTGACATGTCCACCATTCTCTCTCAGAAGACTTGGCTTCTTGTGCGCAACGATTCCGCGCGCAGCTGCTACAACAATGCTCGTGCTGACACAACCACCAGCGCTACAAAGTGCGCGGATATAGTCCGCCACTTCCGCGTCCAGGTTGCCCAATAAAATCGGACGTCCTTCATTTCCGTGAGGAAGAGCAGTCACCTGGTTCGGGTCCTTGACATCTTTTAGTGTCGCCAAGTACAACTTCTTACAATTACGAATTGTGCTCTCGTTGATTTTGTGGCCAGTCTCGCTCGAGAACTTGTCGACCGCCGACTTGTTACCGAACTCCGCAGCATGCCTGCCCATCTTTGCTCTCAGCTCGTCGGAATAACGATGGTACTTGGAGCGTTTCCGACTTCCAGGAGCTTTGGCCAGTTCCTCCATCACAGATGCATTTGCCGCCGCAGCTGCAGTTCCGCTATCGGCAACAGGGAGAAAGGAAGGCGTGTTCGAAGAGGGATCATCGGAAGACTTTCTCTTCGAACTGCTGAGCCACTGGGCGATACTCATGGCGATAAAATTCAAAAGATTTCTTCGAGCAGTACTAAAATCTACGGAACTGCAATCTGGCCAAACATTCCAACAACACTCTCCACAACACTGAGACATTCTCCAGTCGATCGTTTTATTCTCTTCTGGCTCAAGTCGCCGTACTCCAACGACAACTAGCAAGTGTTGTTACGTTCCAAACAGCTGCGCGCTTTACTTTAGTTTGGAATCTTTAGATGTAGCCCTGCAACCATCGATCAGCGCTAGCTGCGAATGTACAGTCAGTCCATGCAGTGAGTGATACACGCGCGCGTACATGTACCATGTACGTAAGTACAGATCTGTTGCAAAAAGATCGATCATCGCGTACTGCAGTGTACTGTAGTACATGCACAAAATTTCATTTTCGCGTGTCAAACTTTCGCGATTCGACCCTGCTCGCGAAAGTCGCGAAAGTTAATCGCTCGCGAAAGTTTGTCGTTTTACAGTATCCATTCGCCTTTATAACATTGCGTCTAGTTCCCGCTTATTGTGTGAATTAAAATAAACCAACCAACCCAGCAACATAGCAGATCGACGGATTTGATCGAGTTGATCGACAATCAAGATCAGAATCAAAATCTGGACGATGAAGGCTGATCAGCAACACGATGTTTGCGTACATTTACCCGAGTTGCCCGAGTTCGCAGAATGTAGCAAGGTGTGGGTTTTCCTCAGGTTCGGTGAGGTGCGAGCGTACGTCTGCTTGTTGTAATTTTCTTGTCGAGCAACTATTTGTCTCCAAAAGGTCGACACTCTAATCAGTGACAATGCAGAGCTTGTTGACCGCGCAACGTTTGGTCTCAGCGCGACTCCATTGACCTGGCAAGGAGGATATTTTGAAATCAGCTCGTAATGAAAATTCGATTTCTAGGACTCGGATGACTATGCTCAAAACCCCAATAATGACCATTGTGTTGAGATCATCACGTTATCTGCTTGCAGGAATATAGATCAGGTGGGAATAGAGACATTATGTCGATAGGAATCAACTCTATTCTCTTTGTCGAGCTATGTCGCTCCGGCACCAGATGTCATCCATGCGTGAAACACAAAATTACTGTTGGCATCCTAAAAAATGCACGAAACACACGACCAACTTACCAGATACACGAAATAGCCGTGGATGCATTTCCGTACCCAACAAGTCGATCTCTCCAGGGTGCACCTAAAAAGCAAGTGCTCGAACCTGTCATACCTGTCATACTGGCCAACCCTCCCGGTTTTCCTGGGAAAATCCCGGGAAATCAACACTACTCCCGGGGTCCTGGGGATTTGAAGGAAAATACCGGAAAAGTCACAGTTTCGTCTGATACAGGATTTTCCTGAAAACTCCATGGATTTGCTTTGAATGTCCCCGTTGTTTTCAAAAATATGTACGGTGCGCACTTGCACTTCGAACTGTAAACGGCACTTTCAAGACCTGACCACAAGATCTGCACTGACAGGCGCTATAGGCGGGCGCCGACGTGCCGACTGATTGAACTGCAGTGCAGGGTTGAACTGTGCCGTACGCAGATCTGCAGAGTTGAACTTTTTTTGGCGGGAAAAGCCCTTTTCACTTGTTTTTGTGCCATCCAGGGATTTTGCGAAAAATCCAGGGATTCTGCATGTATTGTCAAGGGATTGAGATTTTGGTGGTTGGTTAGTATGCTACGTGGTCGAAATTTCAAATGATATTCCTGGAAAACAGGTTGCAGCTAGATCCCAAATCATGAAGTGCAGGGCATCGTACCTCTTCATGGTTTAACTCAAGCAGCATTCCTTCATACATCACAGTAGCAGCATAGCAAATATCATGTTGCTGATCAACCTGATCATCTAGATTTTGATTCTGATCTTGATTGTCGATCAAATCGATCAAATCCGTCGATCTGCTATGTCACGCGGTGGTCGGCACACGGCCAGTTTCAGGACGCAAAAATATCGTGCTTCGATCGCACAAATCGAGATCTGTTCAATATGTTTGCACTTCTGCAGAGCTTTGCTGCTAGTGAAATTCGAGTTGTTCAGGGAAGGAAATGGTTGTTGTTTGGAGTGACAAGGGTTGTCATTTCGAATTTCTTGTCAGACTCGGTAGAGGTGACCACGCTGCAGTGTTTGGCGTGCTGTCTGGAGCAGTGCCTGGTGTTTGAGCTTGAGAAGGCTCTTTCTGTCGTCGGGTATATAATTGGCAATGTTGCAATGTGGTGAAGTGAAAATATTTGAATTTGTTTATTTCCAGAAAACCTGGAACACTTTTTACGAGACATGTCCTGGGTGGTAGTGGAGTATAGTCCACTATCCTGCAGTCCATGGTTCAGAAAAATAGACCGCGTAAATGGCTCCCGCTATGGCCCTTGACATTTGGCTATTCTAGCGATGCAATTTAGTGATATTTGGAGATGATGGCCATTGCTTTCCTGGATGTAGCCATAGCTCTATGTGGTGGTGATGTGAAGACTGCTCAGGTGAGGTAATGTTGGCTGGGTGGTGGTTTGTTCTTAGCTCCGTTGCGTATGCTGTACCAGCGCTCGTTTTGGACCCAATATTCAGTCGTATTTTGAGCCCATTTTAGCCAAGGTGTCCGTAAATTATGCAACGAGCCCTTTTGCATGATTGTTGTAGACCCCAAAGCAAACCTACTTGCAAAATTTGAGTGAAATCAGAGAGATGGCCTGCCCAGCGTTTTGGTTTTCTCAGATATGCTCTATTAAAAATGCTACAAGATGAAAACATTAAATTTCCCTGTCAAAATTTTATTTTATACACAATTTCCAACATTCCTTCATACTCTTTCCTTGTTCAGGCTTTTGCAATATAATAATCTCCGCTATCTTCCCAGTGGACTGCCTCATGACACACCTCACTTAATTCATCTGTAAGTCTTGCCTGACGAACAAGACTACACACATTCCCAGTATTTCATGATTCAGCCGTTTGCTCTTCCTCTAAGGATCTCTGCGGACCTGGGATAGTGGGTAGGCTGGGGATGCTGTTTAGGATAGCCATCGGAAGTGGCCCTACTATTGTGACTATCGAGTATGCAAGATAAGTTACAAAGGATACTACTGTCGATGATGAGGAGTATGATTGTGATTTGCTTAGTTTATGATGCAGTTTTATCATAAGCAGATCAAGACTTTGCAGTGTGTTGCAAATTCCTGTAGGAGGACGAATAGCTTCTTTCGGCTCATACCCACACATTATTTCATACATCTACTTCGAAATAAATTTATACATCTCTTATACATCTAAGTTGGTAATCGATAGGCACATCAGCAAGATGTGCAACCTCCGCCTAGAAGAAAACCTGCAGATAAACTGAGATAATCGCTGCAGACAAGGCAACGCTACTGCATTGTAGGAGTGAGCTTGTATGTAAATGACTCGCCAACCAATTCCTACTAAAGAACCCCAGTGCAGCCATGACATATTCGCAGGTGTGCAACCACCCCTAAATCGCAATTTTGTATCTCACCCTCTACCTTCGCTCTCCTCCCACTTCCCTAAGCCTCGTGCTGCCCGTTGTACGAGGAGCCAAACCACCCAACCCATTGCAGTGAACACATTGCGTACTTCTGATGGTGTCAATTCTTTTTTGAACCGTGCTGCATTGTTCTTTAATGCGCTACCCTCTGAACTCCGCAGTTCTTCACACACTCAGCATTACATGCAGAAATTCAACAACTTTTTGAAGGACCCAATGCAGGTCAATCGGTTCCGTAACTTCCTTTTTGGCCGCGTTACCAATGTGTGGCGGACGTTGTATATCCTGGAGTGACCGTTGTACAGTGGATATCGGTTATAAAGTCATCGGACATAGTGATAAACCGGCTATATTGATACAAAATGAAAATATCAAAAGCAAAACCAGAAACAGCCAGTCAAATTATCATTATAACCAATATATCGGATATAGCGATAAATCGGCTATAAGGATACAGAATCACCATTCAAAACATCTCTTTGTGCAGAACAAATATCGTCTATAATGATAGCAACACTCGAGTGTGAGGCATTGACGTCTCGACTTGGAGCCACATGTGTGTTTTCATAGTGTATTCTGGTCTGATGCTTCCTGGATGATGCCTTTGGGCCAAGAAGTTCTTCACTCTAGACTGGGGAAGGTGCAGCAGCATGCATCGTGTATCAGTACGCTACATTAGCGCGATCGAGTACCCACACGTGTATAATGTGTATGTAAGACGAGCGCAGTTGAAAATCGCCTGTAGTGATATACCGGTACCGGTTATAGTGATAAAATGTGAAAAATCAGAAGGGCACGTTATAACCAATATCTACTGTATATCCTTATTGACTTCTTTTTCTTTGCTGCAAGTCACACTCCATGTATGTTCTTCATTATCTTTACCTTAACTGTGTCTTCACATTGGCTATAGCCTCATCGTTTAACTTTTATTCTTCCTTTTGCCTCATCGGCGCTCTTTAAATTTGTTTGTCAACACTGTTGAGTTGTTCGATGTTAAATAAATAAGAAGATGCTGACTGAAGGCGCAGGCAACATCAGTGTGCGTGTTCAACGGGTATGGCGGCGTGGTGTGGCTGTGTGCGACGGGCTGGCAGGACAGTGATTGCCTCAGGGGCCTCTGGGTCTGCCGCGTTGGCCAGTTCGCTTCGTCGTTCGTTCCCCGTCAAGTTACTATGGGACAAGTACAGTCAGCCACAGTATCTTTGTTTTTGTGGCACATGCAATAACTAACCTTTCTGGTGTCAGACTGACTGCTGTTTTTTGCGCTCCCCCCCCCCCATTTTACACGTGCTTCATGTTCCTGTCCCAGCCATGAGCGTGTGTCGTTATCACCTGACCTTGTTATCACTTTTGTCACTTAGGGTCTGCCACGCCTCTATGCAGAATGAACGCAATTGCGCCAATTTAGCCCTATAAAGATTAGTCAATTCTTATTATTCTGTTATTATTATTATTATTACTTCGTATTATTATTATTATTATTATTATTATTACACAAGAGAGAGTTTGGAAGCTTTGTCACAACTCCGAGTTTCACGTATCTCTACGATCATCAGGCAACTGATGGATCCAAAACGGGCAGCCAGAACATAAGGGGGAGCAAGGTGGGAAATTCCGAGGGGTGTCATAGGCGACGCGTATCATAGCGCAAGAGTCAGGTGCAGGCGTGAAGTTGCCAAGTCTTCAGACTTGGGGCTATGCAGCAGTAGTTCCGGCATGAATGATATAGAATAGAGCTGGGGACAAATGCCAAATCCACACATGCCCACACCACTATACAAACATACACCCACATTCTCTCCCTTTTCTCACATACACATAAATGCCAAATCCACGCATGCCCACACCACTACACAAACATACACCCACACTCTCTCCCTTTTCTCACATACACATAAATGCCAAATCCACACATGCCCAGACCACTACACAAACATACACCCACACTCTCTCCCTTTTCTCACATACACATAAATGCCAAATCCACACATGCCCACACCACTACACAAATTATTATTATTATTAATATTATTATTCAAACAGTAGTTTGGAGGCGGTGGGAAAACAGTTTCGTAATAAGTATTCGCATGCAACGACGCAAATCCACACAATTCAGTAGACACTTCTTTTCTATCAAACGTTTTCTTTCCCTTCTCTTCAGGATAGTACAGGGAATGTTGTAAATTTGAAAAAACACATAACTATAATAGAGAATGAAAGAAAGAAAAAAGTCAACACTTCAACACCTATGTGGAAGTGTTGACTTTTTTCTTTCTTTCATTCTCTATATAGTTATGAAAAGGCGAAGAGGAGACAATAACTTTATTAATGCGATCAATAGTATAAGTGAAGCGGACATTACAAAATGATGAATGAGAATACATGTATCTAAAATGGTTGTTCCTAATCGATTTTCTTGAGACTATCATCAGGGAAAAAATTTCTCACAATAGAGGCTATACGGAGAAACAAACTACTTATAGGTTATAGGATAGTGGGAAGTATACAAGGTGAGGTGTGAAAAGAAAAAAAGTAGCTCACACCGTCGGAACACTCTCACATCTTTTCTTCTAATTTCTTTCGTCTTCTCTCCCACTTTCTTTTTTTCTTTTCACACCTCACCTTGTATACTTCCCACTATCCTATAACCTATAAGTAGTTTGTTTCTCCGTATAGCCTCTATTGTGAGACGATTTTTCCCTGATGATAGTCTCAAGAAAATCGATTAGGAACAACCATTTTAGATACATGTATTCTCATTCATCATTTTGTAATGTCCGCTTCACTTATACTATTAATCGCGCTATGTAGTTATGTGTTTTTTTCAAATTTACAACATTCCCTGTACTATCGTGAAGAGAAGGGAAAGAAAACGTTTGATAGAAAAGAAGTGTCTACTGAATTGTGTGGATTTGCGTCATTGCATGCGAATACTTATTTTAATTATTATTATTTATGTTAGGTTGAGCACTCTTACCTTATCACGAACCCTTGCCGCTCACCCTGTGCAACGCTCACTGCTCTTGGAGCATTTCGAGCACTCTTGGCGGGGTTTGCAGGTCTTTATCAAAATGCTTTGCTTCACGGAAACGTATTTCATTGCGAAGAGCTGCGCTTCGGTCCTCTGAGCTGTGCTGAGGAGCTCTAACAGAGCGAAACAGTTGCTGTCCACAGATTTGAGTATTGTTATTATTATTCGAAGAGAATTGGTGAGCACACATGCTGATTCCCTGGGCACTGCAAATTCACAACTCAATTCATTTTACAGAATCATTTTCAATGTTTCGGCAAATTGCGATCATCAGGATGCAATATGAAGTGGAAGTCTGCCAAGGAGCAGTTATATACACTAATTTGGTGTTATTAGGTGTTCATAATATTTCTATGACTGCACATGTTACCTCAGTGCTAGAAATATGACATGTCTAAAACTAGTGAAAGATCACAAGTTTTCACTGACTCATATGCTGGGTGTTGGTAATAAGTTAGCACAGCGCAGATGTCACCAGATAACTTGAGAAATGTCTGAACAGGTTCTCGCAAGCAATACACGAATGTGACCATGTCAGTGTTTTCCAGAAAATACTGTCACCTAGGTAGCCAGTGTGGTGTGACTGTTTTAGAGTAATGACCATCCAGCACTGGTGTTGATCTCTGGGCCTTCGTTTCTGATCTCTACTGCCTCTCGGAATTTGCGGCTTGCCCTGTCACTGGCTCTTGCAACCACAGACACTGCCGAGAAGACGCTGTCCCCGACACCTAGGTTGATCCTCGCATGCTTAGCTCGCATGTGGTCACCCCATGCTTATCCACAGTGCGCCTACGAGCTTCACCGTTGTGTTCGTCCAGTCTCGTCTCAAGTGTGCGACCCGTCTCTCCGATGTATTTTCCCTGCACAACTTGCATTGCAGCCGTTTTTATCACATTCTTCTTCAAACATAATTTCACTCCACCCGACTCACAAGTCAGACACGGTCCCATTGGGCGTCCTCTTCTCTTTGTCTTTCTGATGTTGGGCTCCTTAATGCAGCTGGGCGGACTTTGTGCTGAGTGACAGAGCTGACGTTTGAGGCTACCCGCATGCTCATAAACCACCCGGACTGGTAGCTTGTGCTTCCGGATAGCTTCCGGATGATGCACCCTGTCCGACTTATATGGCAGCTTCAGAAACGCACAACACGGATTACCTTGGCGGCGACGCTTGGGGTTTCCTTGCTGCTTCTCGGGCATTGATGATGAGGCTCTCTGGATAGTGGTTGAGTTGAAGTTGGTCTTGAATTTTCTGTTCATTTTCTTTACACATGGTGTCATTGGAAGACAGACGTTGTGCTCTTAAGAATTGAGACTTGGCAACGGCAAGTTTGATGTGATGGGGCA